GAGTCTGATGAAAGTGGGTGAAATTCGGTTAAGAAGTGTGTGCTTGTTAATCAATTAGGTGTTAATTAAGGAGCAGAGAGGCGTCTGGGGTCCAGATAAATGCTTCATTATGGCTCCAGTCTCAGTCTCTCTTGACCTAATCCTTAATGAGATTATCTTTCAAATTAAATTTCACTTTGACACCTTTACTCATCAAGGTCAAATCCAAACTTGAACAGGACACTCCAGTTTTCATAAGGACGACCAGAAAAAAAACAAATTAAAGCAACTCCTGAAAGTAACTTTTCCAGCTAAATAGGCTGCATTTTAATTACTTGAACAGAAATAAAACATTTAGGCCATAGTTAGACAGTTTTTTGGGTGAAACTAGTTTTTATGTGGTTCAGCTGTTCATGTACACAACAGCAGCAGCCCTTGTTTTTTGTTTTGTTTTGTTTGTTTTTCCACCTTTTTTCCTGAAACCGAAGCTTTTTAAATCCAGGTCAATGTTTTTTTTCTGTGCTTTCATGCGTCGATAAACAACAGTAACAATGGAGGATATTAGAGTACTGGTTGTGCTTCTCACTCGTTCAACATGTTGGAGTGACCCAACTTCCTCCTCTGTACAAATCAAAGTTCTTTTATTAATCACATTGAATGTTACAGTTTATATGCTCAAGACTTACCTGTCCCGTAAGGTCAAAGTACAATAATGATAGTACAGTAGTTCATCTTTTACTATCTGGCAACCTTACCTGGCATGGAAATTACAATGGATTCTCAAGCACAGCGTTTCAGTGTAAACTTGTATTTTATGTAAATTTGCCACAATCACTACTCCAACAATGATAACATATCTAGAGATTGTTAACATGTAAAAAGAGCATTATACTGACAATGACAACTGAAATAAAAGTACCGTAATGTTTGGACTATTAAGCATACCTGAATATAAGCAATGCCAACTAAGTTTTAAAAGAAAAATACATTGTACATATATAGGCCGTATTTGTGTATAAGATGCGGGTTTCCACGTTGTAACATGAGATATTTACACTTTTTTTAACTTTTAATTAAATACATACCAGTACTATACACAACTATGTACATTAAATGTATTTAGTTTCTGCCTGTAACATGGCTGGTTTAAAAACATAAATAAATACAGTAGCCTACCAGAAAAAGTCATTGAACACTATCTTCATCTTCCTCCCTTGCACGGAAACCACTAAAGTCGTCTTCTTCAGTGTACGAATTGAACCGCCTCAGAAAAACTTCATCACACACTTCCTCAGTCTCTCTTTCGTTGTCGCTCTCAACATCACTTTTGTCTCGAGGCAAATGTGCAATTTGATTTGATTTACGATTCACACTTGTTTCGAGTGGCTGCAAATACTTTGTTGTGTTGTGCCCCAACGAGGGGAGAAACTCCTGAATGTTCTCTTATCTTATGTTGCTCCCAAAATGAATTTCCCCCCGCTCCTGTGGACACAACTGGTAGGGAAGTAAAGAACGTGGGAGGGGAGTAGTTCCCCCCTCCCCAATGGACCAATGAAACCAATTTTCGTTGGTCTGCTGTGACCTGTTTGATAATTTTATTGGTCAGATTTTTTTCAAACTTTATTTATACAGGTAGTCTCATTGAGTCATGAGGACCGCAAGAGAGACGTTTATTGGGCAGCTATGTGACCCCCCAAGTGTGACAAGGCTAAAGGCTCCAGTATACTCCTGCGTCCTGTCAGACGCGCGGAAACTGTGCGCACTGTGCGCAGAGCGTTTAGAATTCATGCATGAGCATACACCCTGAGCGGCAGCAGAGCATCTCCACAGATGAGGAGCGTTTACCTTTGGGACAAATTGAGGTCGCTGATTGGTCATTTGCTGACACACCTAATGGACTGATTGACAGGTCAAAAAATAAATAAAAAGAGAGCTGCAGCAGTGTTCTGTATTCATATGTTGTTAATAAAAAGTTCTAAAAAAAAACAGGGAGCGCTGGTCCTGCAGTCCACACATCTGACCAGCCCACCAGGAAATCTACAGACCCTCCCGCAGCCACGCTGGACGTGATTTTAATTTGCTCGTGACAAATTCCTTCATTTCTCACCATTTCAGTCATGGCATCGATGTAGGAGGAAGAGATTGCTTGCCTTTTGGCAAAAAAACCCCAAAAGAATAGGCCAGATCAGAGATGAAGAAGGGGAATTTAATACATTGGTGTCGCATACAAAACAGTCCGTCGCCGGGCAGTTTATTGTGCGACACCGCATACGTATGTGCGGTCGTAAAAATTGAGCTTTGCGCGGACATGCCCTGCGGAGGTGCGCGCGTACCTCCATGGACGGACGAACATGGGAGTATACTGTGGGCTTAAATGTTTTGGTGGCATGAAGCTTGGTAGCCTGTAAAAATAAAAATAAAAATAAATAATGAAAAAAAATATATATATATATA